TGTGTAAAATTTGATTTCGGCTAATTGTTTTGCCTTCTCTTTTTTATAATTCACTGTAATAATTTAGACATATTATTATAATAAACACGCACCATGATATCATAGGAATCGTCGTATATTCTGTATCTATACATATGGATGGATTGTAAAATGATAAAAAAGAAGCTAATATATAAAGATATGATGAACTTATTACGAAGATATAATGAACTTATTATGAGATATAATTAAATTATATTTTATGTAATGTAAATTAATGAAAAATGAAATGAATAATATAAATATAAAGGAAAATCACTGATACTATTATAGATTTTCTAAAGCGACACCTTCTTATTTCTCAGAAACTAACTACTGCACTCTTTATTTAATATTACTAACCAAAACATGATCTGTTAACTGTTTAATTAATTAAAAAATTGTAAATGCATAGTTCGTATATTTTTGACTTGTTTTTATACAAAATCAGCTAAAAACGAATTCTATGGATACGAAAATAAAATTCTTACGATGTTCTTTTGCAAATAATATAAATAATAGTGACTGTATTATTAATAATATTACATCGTTTGAAATTATAATTTCCTAAATTAGTTTTATTTATATTATTTTTCTCTCTTAGTTTTTTTAATACGATTTAATAAATATAAAATCAGGTGCAATGTAAACCAGCACATCTGTTAAACATGAATTAACTTAATTTTCGTAATGTTGCTTTATAATGCCAAACTATACATATATGACAAAGCATATGAAAAACTATCGCGTTACATATTTGCATCTTGCAGAACAGCATAAAGTAAATACGCGTATAATTTAACAAAAATATTTTATATCGAAATAAAACGATTCTGGAAAATCTTATATACATTTACTTGTAAATTTTTTTATACAGATAGTTTCTATTAAAAAAAAGAATAGGAATATATTGTTATATATTACTGTCTACTGTATCAGTTTTGGAGATTATTTTATCGAATGCTTATATTTGTTTATCTTACGAAAAAATTGATTATTGCAAAATTACAAATAATATTATAAAAACTGCTTATATTATCTGATAGAAAATACTTTTTAGTTAGTATTTATGTATTTAAAGTTTATTTTTATCTTTTGTTTAATTAAGAAATATTATCTAAAAACAATATGATATGGCGGTATCGGCGATCTTTCCATAAATGTATAAAATAATATTACCGTTATATTAGAGGAAATCAAAGTTTTGGAATTTCTGGTTGTCACACGGGTTTAACTCTCAACAAGTTAAGAACTCAACCAAGTATTCTCTTTTCACTGTAGATTGCTGATTAAATTGTGAAAAATGTTCTGTACCAAAAACGTATTTGTTACTTACAATGTTATAGTCTGCCCCTTTTTACCGAACATAGTTATGGCAATAAAAAAGACGTTACTTCGTAATTCCATTTTTGCAGACGCGTACTTTAAGACAAATTTCATTAAATTAACTTATTTGAATGTTTGATTTCAAATGTCTTAAAATTTAACAATTTTTATTTCTATATTAGAAGGTACAGAATTAAAGCATTTGTCCAATAATAAACATTGTATTATTAAAACATTTACTAAATGAAAATGTAATGATTCTTATTGTTGAGTCAGAATTCAGATTTTCTTGAATCATATAGTAATTTTATGTTATTATTTGTATTTTGTAAAATATCTTTTCTAAACAAAATGTTATAAACATGTATAAGCAATTTATGTATTTTATATTTTATATAAAAGGATTTAATTCTATTT